CTGCTGGGACGCAGGAACCCATGAGATCAGAAAACCTTTGAAACTGTATTTCTGACTCCCCTCTCTCGTTATTCAAAACTGAAACCTAGACCCAAACTTAAAGGTTATGTGGCATCTCACTGCTCACTGTGACCCTCATGGGGTCTTGTTGCTAGGGAAACTTGGCTGTGAATACAAACCTGAAAGCAGCTGCTCCTTCATGTGAAATAATGACCTATAAGAACTGTCATTAGTTAAAGCAGGAGATTTCTCCTCACTGATAACATACTCCATCATTCCACAATGTAAAGTGAGAACTGTTCCCTCCAGCCCACAGTCGCTGTGAGCATCCCTCATTCTCTTTCTTCAATTCCAGGGTGGACGTGACACCCAACCTATGCCCTACGCTTGGCCAACCATTCTGAATCATAAAAGTTCAAATCCCTTGAGCTACCCTCCCTCCTTAGCCTGAGGAAAATAATCTATAACTGAGCTACATTACTAAACCACCTGCCCACCCTGGTGCTCTGCTCCGTGTGGTCTACGTACGGCCTGGGGGTATAGGCAGGCAGGGCCGCAGCAGACATCTTTCTCTGATGGACTCACGGAATGAACAAGAATGTGAAATGGCAGACTCCAAGTTCTGAGCACTGACCAGACAGCTAGCCAGCACTCTTAACAAGCCCCCTTAGGCCCTCGTGGACACAGAGAAGCAGCTGGTCATTACAGACTAATTTTCTTCTGCAAAGTAACATATGGAGAAAAGAAAACCAGTGAGGTGACAGGGGAGGGTTGGTGCTTTATGAAGCATAAAGAGAGACTAAAGAAATATATGAGGGACCAGCAGCTAGCATAATGGCTATGTCGCTGGACTCCCACGTAGTCGACCGCAGTTCGCGTCCCAGACCCGGTGGCTTAAACTCACACCGGGTGCGTGTGCGTGCGTGCCCAAGATCCCGAGAGGAGAAGGGAGGAGAAGGGATTGTGGCGTGGCCATCTCCCCTGGGGGGCGATTTCTCGCTTTCTGTCTCTCTCAGTCTATCTGGCGAGCGCACGCGCCCTATAGCAAAAACCTCTCCAAAAAAAAAAAAAAGAAATATATGCAATGGGGGTGTGTTTTAAATGATTAAAGGGCTCACATTTAAATGACTGAAGGAGTGAAAATATTTCAAAAATGTTTTGAAAATGTCAGGAGGCATATGTACTGACAAGGGGGGGAACCCTCCAACGGGGTGTGGTTATGCTGCAGTCCTTTCCCTCCATTATTCCTCTTGTCAGGCTTTGGGGCAGACAAGCATACATGGGCACCCACGTTTCACGCTGCTGGGGCTGAGGTCTGGACCGTGGCCGGCCATGTGCGACCCAGCTCCCAAGGTGCAGCGCTGAACCCTTGCATGACGGGTTAGTCCAGGGCGAGAACTTATTAAAGGGAATAAAAAGACCAAAACATTAAAGGTGAGTTAGGTAACACCATTCTCTTGTGTTTTATTGAAAGAGAAGGTTAGGTAAATAGACACATAGAAAATTAATCACCAAAGACAAGGTAAGACCTGCTGCTTGGTGGGAGGCCCATCCACAAGTGACCGGGACAAGAATCACCTGGGTGTTTTGAGGTGCGATCAACATAGCAAAGCAGACATTAAAGATGGGCCTTCTGGATTAGTAACAAAGTAGAAAGGACTTACCTTAGTTAGTAAATGAACCAGGCATCAGAGAATAAAGACAAAAATGTATACAAAAGAGCCAATATGCTGCCAGTGATGCCTCTGGTCCTTACTTAGGCCCAGCTGTGCAGGGCCAGCCCTGCCGACACTGGCTCTGTTATATGTGAGGAGGGAACAGAGCCAGAGTTCCCTATTATGTCTGTTTCTAGTAACCCTGGGACAGAAGCAGGAGAGCACACCAAAAGAAAGTGCTCATTCTCACAGATCCTAAAGCGCCCTCCCCAGTAGTTCACAGCTTTTCAACGCTTCCCTAAAAGTCCTGGACTTCAGCTGAGTTAATTTGTTGCTAAAGGGGCAAGTAGCATTGAGATGAAAGTCACTGCTAAAAGACCAAACCACCTTCATCTTGCTAATGTGCTAATGATGTTCCAGGGTCTCAGGCTGGGCCTTACATGGGGTGACCGAGGGGTACCACTCACTGGCAGCACTACAGATTTTGCACATTCTTACATCTAGTAGGAGGCTCTAAAGAATAAAATTCTGACAAAATCAATCTGTTTCAACACTTTTTTTTTGGGGGGGGGTGAGGTTTTTGCTATAGGGCACGTGCGCTCGCCAGAAAGACAGAGACAGAGACAGATAGAGAGAAATTATCCCCCAGGGGGGATGGCCACGCCACAATCCTTTCTCCTCCATTCTTCTCTCAGGATCTTGGGCACCCATGCAACACGCCCGGCATGAGTTTAAGCCACTGGGTCTGGGACTTGAACCACGGTCGACTACTTGGGAGTCCAGCCATGTAGCCATGATGGCATCTGCTGGTCCCTCAACGCTATTTTTTAAAGAGACAGATTTTTGCTATAGGGCGTATGGGCTCACTGGAGAGACAGAAAACGAGAAATCACACCCCTGGGGGGATGGCCATGTTGCAATCCCTTCGCCTCCATTCTTCTCTTGGGATCTTGGGCACACAGTATCTAGTGTGAGGTTTAAGCCGGCAGGTCCAAGACTCGAACCGAACCACAGTCAACTACGTGGGAGTTCAGTGATATAAACATTACACCATTTGCTGGTCCCAATCTGTTTCAACACTTCTAACAGGTGGAAGCACCTTGAGGCAGAGAGAGCCTGTACAAACCAGCGACACGCACCATATTCTCAGCAGATGCCCTCTTCTCACAAGGCAGGCCCACCATGAAGTCAGAGGGGCCTCTGGACCAGAGGCCGCATGCACAGCACAAACTAGGTCATCTCAAATTAGGACTGAGCAGCTTCAGGGAGGCTTTGATGACAGCAGAGTGTTCCTTATAAAATTTCAGTAATCATTAAGTTACCATATCATTGAAGATTCAGATGCCAGCCAGAAGCATGGCGGTTAGTATGGCTGGATCCCTCACAACTAACTGGGTGGTTTGAGTCCTGGATCCAGTGCCTTGGAAAACTCTGAGAGTGTGTGTATTTCTCCTATATCTCAAAAGGAGAAATGGAGAATGGATTGCAGCCTGATCATTCCTCATGGGGGGTGCTTTCTCACTGCTCCCCAACCCCAACAAGTATATGCCCCTCTGGCAAGTTAAAAAGAAAGAAACAAGAAATTTCAGATATAAAGCAATAGACATTGATCTCTTCACCATGCCTGGCTCCATCCTCCTCTTCGATGGCCTAGCCAGGCTGGGCAGATGAGCAAACTGTAGACAAACCTGGCTCAGGAAACAGAGGTGGGAAGTGGGTCCCTGCAGTCCGAGTGATCTCCCACCTCGTCTTAGCTGACTGGACTGATGACATCAGTACCATCACCTGCTAGAATGTCGGCCATCATTCAAGAGGTCTCAGCCAACTAAGTATCTATAATCACCTCTCTCAGTAGTTAAGCCACTTGGCTCCCAAAGCATCAAAGGCTAGAAGACGTGGATAGCAGAGACAACTAGCTTGGTCGGCACCTGGCAAGTCCCAAGTTTCCCAAAGACACGGCCATATGTGGCACAGGACTGACCCCTACTAATGTTCCTCAAGACATTTCCAACTAATTAAGTCATGGCAGTTTTGACAGTATTTAAGGAATTATTAGTAAGGTGCAATATTTTGTGGCTAGAGGAAACCAAGATGGAAATTTGCCCAAGAGATCAGTCTCACTCACAGCCTAGTGGTTAAGAGAATCAGATCCCACATGGATGACTGTGGTTCAAATCCTAGACCTGGAGATCTGAAAAACACACTGGGCATGTGTGTGTGTCTTTCAAATTACAACAGGATGGAGAAATGGAGCAGAATTGTAAAGTGGCCACACCCCATTACGGTTGTTTTCTCTCTCCGATGAGCACACATGCCCTCTGGCAATTAAAAAAAATTGCTCAGGAATTAAAATATGAACAACATACATGATCAAAAATTGACTACAGAGTCCACACACATGTATTACAGTATTTACAGGTGAGAGTGACTGCACTAATACAGCTGAGAGCTGAAAATATCTGGTAGATACCAGATAAAGTCATCACTGAAGAAATGAACTAGAATACTGAGCATAAACCTGATAGATTTATGGCTGTCTGGCTAGAGATTTACCTCGTCCTCCTCTTCAGGCATCTTAATAGAATTATCCGGGGATTTCATGGGTTTCTGGGTAGTGGGCCCATTGGTCTCCTCTTTGCCATGTTCTGCCTCCCATTCTTGTAAAACTTCATCAATGTTGAAGCGGCGTCGGTAATTTACAAAAAAGTTCTTCACTTGTACCACTGATTTGTTCCCAATAACATCTGAGATCGCCTGAAAATCTCGGCCATATTTCCTGATGGCTAAGGATGTAAGAGAGTAGTTTTTCAATACAAGAGAAAACAATTTTTCAAAACCACAGTTGAGACCCTTTCTCCACATAAGAAAATACACAGTCTCCACAGCAGCTCTGCCCTAGTGCACTGCCCCAGCGGGAAGAAGCAGTGGACGACTGATGGAACATTTGGTAGGTGACTGATCAAAGAGCTGCGGGCAGGGAGACCCCATTATCCAGAAACCATCTTCCCATCAGATGCCACAGCTAAAGTCACCCACCAATCCCACCATGGTTGAGGATGTTCTGCATTCACCCTTTCAGAATCCCCAGGTCCACAACACTTCCAACCTTAAAATATTAGCACTCAATCTGCTTAAAGAAGTTTGAAATCTGCTTACAGTTTGAAACCTCCCAAGCATTCAGAACTCAACGAGTAAAGGCTAAAATAAAACACCTTTAAAAAACTCAGGCTTCCAACTTAATTTTTAAAATAGGAAAAAGTAAAATAAAGCCCAAAGGAATACAGTAATTGGGCTAAAATGATATCCAGTAGGAGAGAATAGTCCTTCAAGAATCTGCCTCAACACGAATGATGTGCTGGGAGCAGGGTGGGATACTTCTTCCTAAAATCTACAACTACTCCTGGGACCAGCAGTTAGCGTAATGGCTATGTCGCTGGACTCCTATGTAGTTGACCGCGGTTCGCATCCCGGACCCGGTGGCTTAAAACTCACGCCAGGCGCGTGTACACGCGTGCCCAAGATCCCGAGAGGAGAACAGAGGAGAAGGGATTGCGGCATGGCCATCGCCCCTGGGGGGTGATTTCTTGCTTTCTGTCTCTCTCTCTCTCTCTGTCTGGCGAGGGCACGCGCCCTATGGCAAAAACCTCTCAAAAAAAAAAAAAAATCTACAACTACTCCTAAACTCTTCATTAGAAGAACTTCCCCATACCTTGTACGGCAAGAAGCTGCTCTTCTGTGGTCCAACGTGCATTACATTTCTGAACGACCTGCATATCCAAATGAGTGACTTTAGCAGATGACATTTAAAAATAAGTTAATCTATGTTAGGGTTTAAGGAACCTTTAACTCATATCAGAAGTTTAACATCAGCGATTATAAAAATTATGTCTAAACCCTTCTTCCCGAGACGAACCCCATAACTAAGGAATTCATACACAAGTAAAGCTTGGGCATGACTTTGGGGATGACATGGACATCCTACCTCAGGAAGTCGGTACGGTTCTATTCCACCATCAAGCTTTTCTTTGAGAGCACTGTTTGTCTGTTTAATATTCTGAATCTAAGAAGGAAAAAAAGATAAAAACAATTTTCATTTAAAAAAAACCCCAGAACTGTCATGAAGTTATGAAAAGAAAACAGAAATTAAAAAAATAAGAAAACATAAAATCAAGAGCAGAAAAGTTTCTAATGACTACTGTAGCCAAAACCTGAGGTTCTGACAAGTATCCACTGAGAGCACCTAGTCTAAGGTGATATTGTGTGCTTAGAACAACAGATGAGGACCAACCCAACAGGAGGGCTGGTGACAAAAAGACTCCCAAGGATAGGATGCTAACCCACTGTTCACAGTAGGTGGCCCCTGGAAGAACAAGACACTCATCTAGTCTGACACAAAAAAATGTCTGCTTCCCCAGCACATGGGATTGAGGGGAAATGGTGGCAGCCACAGTTAAGGGTGGGAGGCCAGGCTTCACAGCAGAACCACAGGTCTGGCCTCCCAGATCCCCTACTACTCACTACACAGGCATGTTACTGATCCCACAAAATGCAGAACACACAAGAGTGGGATTCTGGAAAGTACTGAATGGAAAACAATGTCAGCAAGTTTTCCCCAAGTCTAACTTAGATCTACTGCAACTTCTCATTTCCTCATAAAACACCTTTTCCCACATATAAACATGACTCAATGTACCTAATCTTTCACCACCCTTGCCCAAAAGACAGACACAAACAATACAACCGGGTCAGTAAGCTGTGGCTGCCCAACTTTCCCAGACTCCTAAATGACTCACGACATAGCATCATACCCCTTTCTCTGGGCTCTAAGTAGAGGGGTGTTCTGGTGCCTGCACGAAAGGAGCCCTGACTCTAGTGTCTTTCTTTTTTTTTTTTAAAGAATTACTTAGTTATTCATTTACTTTTTTTTTTTTGTAGAGGTTTTTGCTATAGGGCGCATGCACTTGCCAGAAAGAGAGAGACAGAAAGCGAGAAATC